ACTTGATTCTTGCGTTTCTCTAGTTTGCTGTTGGGTCTCCGTATAATATTTTTTATTTCAGTCAGTGTACGTTTAATTTCTAGTTGGTCCTTTTTCATATCCTCGAGGGTCTCGCTAAATTTATCGGCCTTTTCTAGGAAATTCTCAAAAAACCTTATAACTGTGGTTTGAACTCTTATCTCCAGTTGTTTTTTTCTCCATTTCTTTTGTTTGTGATGTTTCTTTGTCTTCACATTTTCACTGTTTTTAGGTGTCCTGTATGGGCCAGTGGCTTGGCCTCCCCAGTTACCTGAGGTGGACACTCTTGGTGCTCCCCTTTGTGGACTGTGTGTACAGCCTTGTTGTAGTTAAGTCTTGATTGTTATTGGTATCAGTGGGAAGAGTTGACCTCCAGGCCAATTGGATGTGAGGATCAGCTATGTCTATGCCGGGAAACAGCCTTATTTGACTAGACTTGCAAAATTGCAAAAGCCTCTGTGCTCAGCTTGGTGGATGGGGTGGAGTTTCAGGGTGGAGCCTTCAGACTTGGCTTCTCATCAGCCCCGCTCTATGAGGTTCCTGTGAAAGGTACCCTTGAGTTTCACCCGCTGCCAGACAGTCTAGTCTCTCCCCCAATAAATCTGGATTCCTAGATTCTCGCCCTGAACTGGGGTTCAGTGCAGTCTGGAGTTTTTTTCTCCTTCCTGCTAGGGCAGTCCAGTAACACAGTCAACAGTCTGTCCTCTGCGCTCATTCACGTGTGTGCCTCCAGAACTCTGCCTTTCGCCGCTCTCCTGAGTTTCCGCCTTATAGCCCAGATTCCCACAGTATGAGCCTGGATCCCCAGAGTCTTGCCCAGAACTGGGGTTCAGCATAGTCGGAGCTTTTATCTCCTTCTTGCTAGGGAATGCCAGCCAGGCACTCAGCCGCCCCTCCTCTCTGTCCTCTCCACACGTGCACCCGTGTGGAGAGGACAGAGAGGCTTTTACAGCTCCTCTGATTTTCCTTGTGGTTTTCTCTTTCCTTCTAGTTGTAGAATTTCCAGTCAGCCAGCTTTCCTGTGGTTCTGGATGATGTTCGTTTTATCTTTTAGGTGTATTTTTGAAATTGTTATGCGAGGATGCAGTTTAGATGTCTACCTATGCCGCCATTTTGGGTTCTCTCTCTTTTGCTCATTTTTAAATAAGGTTGTTTGTTTTCTTATTGAATTTTAAAATTCTTTGTATATTTTAGATACCAGTCCTTTATCAGAGTTATATTTTACAAATATTCCCTCCAGTCTGTAGCTTGCTTTTTCATTTTCTTAATTTTGTTTTTCACAGAGCAGATATTTTTATGTAGTCCAGCCTGTCAATTTTTTCTTTCATGGATTGTACTTTTTGTTTGTATCTAAAAACCTATTGCCAAATCCAAGGTCACCTGGATTTTCTTCCTTGATATTTTCCAGTTGTTCCAAGTACTATATGTTGAAAAGACTGCCCTATCTGAATTGTCTTTGCTCTTGTGTCAAAGACAAGTAGGTTCTATGGGTGTGGCTCTATTTTTGTTCATCAGTTTATATTGTTTATTATATTCCACATATGAGTGAGATCATGTGATATTTATCTTTCTCAGACTGGCTTATTTCACTTAGCATGATTCTCTCCAGGTCCATTTATGCATACTGTTGCAAATGGTAAGAGTTCCTTCTTTTTTACAGCAGTATAGTAATCCACTGTGTAGATATACCACAGCTTTTTAATCCACTCATCTCCTGAGGGGCACTTAGGCTATTTCCAAATCTTAGCTATGGTGAATTGTGCTGCTATGAACATAGGGGTGCATATATCCTTTTTGATTGGTGTTTATGATTTCTTGGGTATATTCCTGGAAATGGGATTATTGGATCAAATGGAAGTTCCATTTTTAAATTTTTGAGGAAACGCCATACTGTTTTCCACAGTGGCTGCACCAGTCTGTACTCCCACCAGTAGTGCATGAGGGTTCTCTTTGCTTCACATCCTCTCCAGCACTTGTCGTTTGCTGATATGTTGATGGTAGCCATTCTGACAGGTGTGAGGTGGTACCTCATTGTTCTTTTGACTTGCATCTCTTGCAGGATTAGTGAACATATGTTTTCATAGGTTCTTGGGCTTCTGAATGTCCTCTTTCAGAAAGTATCTATTTAGGTCCTTTGTCCATTTTTTGATTGGATTGTTTATCTTCCTGTTGTTGAGTTGTATGAGTTCGTGTAGTCTGCTTGACCTGACTGGGATGCTCTAGGAATGTGTGGGTTGTGTAGACCCAACTGTTGTAATTGTGTCTCGATTGCTGTCGTCCTGTTCATGGGTCGGCTTAGCGCCTGGGCTGGATGACTGTGAGTCTCAATCCCAACCACCTCGTAACAACTGTGACACAGGTGCTGACAGAGCAGAACAAGACCAAGCAAGCTAAGCTGAAAACAACAAGCCAACAGCCACAGAAACAAGAATAATTATGAGGAAAAAACAGCACAGAAAGACAAGAGACCAAAGAATTAGAAAAGAAAAAAGAAACAAAAAGGAATATGAAAGAAAAGAAAAATAATTAGAAAGAAAAGTAAAAAATGTTAAATGAGACAATTGTTAAAAATAATAATAATGAATAGAATAAAATAAAATATAGAATAGGAAAAGAATAAATGAAAAAATAAGAAAGGAAAAAAGAGAGAAAGAAAAACGTAGTACAAGAAAAGAGAAGAGAGAAACAGATATTAAAGTTTTATAGGTGGAGTGGTCTCCATGTCCCCACTTATTATTAATGGAATGGCACTTCTTTGGTGCCTTGGGAATAAGAATATTTTGAGGCCCCCCACAGAAGGATACGGTATTGAAAAAAGCATTATTTTGGTTGAAGTAAACTTCTCCCTGTGTTCTCAAGGTCCCATCGCCCTCAGTCTCGCCATGGGAGAAGTCTGGCTTTGTCTTTAGCAGAGCGGGATTTGAAGCCGCTGCCCAGACTTTCCACTGCATTTGCATCTCACTAGGCTAGCCCGTGTTCCAGCTACACTCCATTGCATGTGGGGTTTGCTTGGCTGTGAGCCATGCAGCTCCCAGGGCCACATGGTTATAGAAGGGGCACAGGTGAGTGCAAGGAACCAAGAGAAACTAGAGAGAAAGAATTCCTTTGTATTTGTATTCCAGATTTTCACAGGCTTGTAGTGGCTCCAACCCCAGCCAGTTATATTTGTTCCAGGTTAGCCTGACAGGCAAGTGCCTTCCCTACCTTACCTCACCTTCACTGTGCGAGCGTCCATCTTTCCCTTGGTTGGGCCCCTTCCCCCAGTGATTTGCAAGGAATGCACAGTGCAGCGTTGCAGCTCCCAGGTGCAGTGCCCAGATGACCGTGCTTATGTCCAGCAGACCCTTTGCCTCAATCCTATTAACATTAATCACTAATTACAATGGTGACAAAAGTGAAAAGAGAGGAAACAAATTTTGTAAATGAAATATAAAAGAGAAGTAAAGAAAATATTAAAAATAAAAAGTGTTCCCCTCCATAGGTTTTAGTGCCGATTGTGTTCACCCTTTGTGGAGCCCGCTGGATTTTGCTCCATGAGGTCAAGTTGGCCACTGGGTGTGCTGGTCACAGCTCTCTCTGGAGGTTCTCTGGTGCAGGCCAATGGCAGTCATTGTCCCTGCTGACCCTTGGCAACATGAAAGATGCTCAGCACAGCAGAGCCCCACATCTGGTGGGCGGGGCTTCTGGGGTCCAGAGGCCCTTCTGCCTCCAGTATGGATGTCCTTGCTTCTTTGCCCAAGGGCCTGCACTGTGCTCCTGGGCCTCACCAGTGGTTCAGACACACCAGCCTTGGGGGTGCGGTTATAGCCTGTGGGAAGGTGGTCTCTTCCTTTTCTTCCTGGCACAGGCGAAAACAAGGATCTCCCTGGGAAACAAGGATCTGCTTCCCATCAAGCAGCCCAGGGCTGGGCGCAGGCCCACTTCTGCACAGCAGAAGCCCTCTAAGGGCACAGCTGCATTGCCTTAGCTCTGGTGGCCTCTTGGCACTTCTGGTAGCCATACCAGTAGGGGTGTTCAGAGAAAAGTAATGTTGTGAAAACAAAGCTTATATTGAGCATTTGAGAATTTAGAGATTTGGGAATATTTATTCAAAGCTAGAAAATTTTAGCAGAAATCATTTCTTCTTTTTAATGTGGTTGAAATTTAATGCATTATGAGTTTTGCAAATTCATTGCATCAGGAATTTAACTTTATCCTGATAAAATATATTCATTACAGTATATTTTAAAGAACATTTTTTTCAACATGTTTTTGTTTTAACGTAAGAACCAACTGGAATTATGTGTATTGTGAATGCAGTACTTTTTAAATTGCTGTAGCTATGACTTCTGATTGAAATATGGTTTTCCACATCCATAAAACACATTATCCTAGTCTTAAATGTTCAAACAAAAAAATTCTAATTTATTCAGAATGTGTATTGTATGAAACTAAAGGAAAGTTTAATTTTTTTTTTACAGTGGATTTTTAAAATGTAGTTTAAGATTAGGAAAGAAGACTTAAAAATCTTATTTAATCTTTATTGGAAAAAATAATTTGTCAACAGTGTAAAACTTAACTGTCTACTGGGACTTTCAAGAAATAGGAGTCCTGTAGTGTTATGGGCTTAAAAAAAAAAAAAAAGTGATGTTGAGGAGGCCAATTAAAGTTAACAGATAAAAAGGAGGCAATCGGTGTGGAAAAAAGAAAAAATTTTTTTTCCAGGCAAGGCCTTTCCACAAAGATTTTTGTTTCTATTCATGTTCCTAAGGAATAAGGTTTATTCAGTCAATGTGTAAATACACAAAAGGGAAGAGCAGTGCAACTAGAACTGATTGGACTTTTCAGTGGAAACAAATTCAGGTCTGAGGTGAGTAAAAGGCAAAGGCTTTGTGATAATGATAAGTCGATTATAATATTCATTACAGTAATTTTATTACCTTTATTTTTTTCTGAAATTTGTGTTGTATATCTTTTACCTCCAACTTCTCCTGCCCTTCTAGAGGCTCTCCCTACAGAGAATCTCCTTTGGGTCATTTTGAAAGCTATGGAGGGACCCCCTTTTTCCAGGCTCAGAGAATATTTGTAGATGTGCCTGAAAACACAGTGATACTGGATGAGATGACCCTCCGGCACATGGTCCAGGATTGCACTGCTGTAAAAACTCAGTTACTCAAACTGAAACGTCTGCTACATCAGGTGAGTATATAATGAATATTTTGACTCTTGATATTTTTAGTTGCAAGATATATTAACATTACTTTAAAATTTTTAAGTTGGGTTTTTAATGTCTATTTAGATTTATGTAAAAATAATACTTGTAAATGGTACTTAATAGCCCAGCTGGTGTGCCTCAGTGTTTTTGGTTGACCTGTCAAGAGGTCACAGTTTGATTTCTGGTCAGAGCACATTCGAGGTTTCAGGCTTGAATCCCCCGTGGGGGGCATGCAGGAGGCAGCCAATTAATGATTCTCTTAACCATTAATGCTTCTATTTCTCTCGCCCTCTTCCTTCCTCTCTGAAGTCAATAAAATATATTAAAAATACTTTTTCAAATAGTACACAATAGAAATTTTTGTGGAAGAAAAAAATATAAGAATTTGTATATGGTCTCCATACAGTCCCCAATATTTATGAACTGTGTAATATTGGATTAGCCAATCTCTGCTTCTGTTTCCTTATTTTTATAGTACCTGCACTGTAAGGTTATCAGAGAATTAGAAACAGTAGTTTTAAATTGAGAGATTTAATACCTGAAACATAGTAGGCTTTCTGTCATCATTGCTGGCTTTCTATCATCATTACTAATTTCAGCTAAGTGGAAAATAAGAAAGAGCGGTTTTTATTTACATCTATATACATAGAAGCCAAGTGACTGGGCTGACCAGAATGACTGGTCACTATGACATGCACTGGGGCAGCCAACTGGCCCAATTGCCCTCACCCCCAACATCCTGCAGTCCCTCCCCCAGGCCAGCCTGGCTCCCAATCGGCCCCCCTTCCTGATTAAGGGCGGGACCAGTCAGCGAATAGCTTGCAGCCCTTCCCCCAGACTGGTCCCACCCCTGATCAGCTCCCCATCCCCTAATTGGGGGCAGGGCCAGCTGGCCAACTGCCCACATCCTGTCCCTGCCCCCCTTGCGCCTCCCTCCCCCCCTTTGCCAGTCCAGCTCTAATCGGGGTGAGCTGGCCAGACCCCACCCATGCACGAATTCATGCACTTGGCCCCTAGTAATCATATAATTGTACTTTTGTTAGAATTTTGTCAGGTTTAATCTTTCTCCATCTTATTTTTTTATTCGAGAAAATCTAGACTAATAACAGTGATGTGACTTCTCAAAAGATATGGAGTGAGCTGATGTTTGAATCTGGCTTCTGATTCGAAAGCATTTTTTTTGTTTGAACATGTAACACTTAAGAGACAAGGTCAGATGCATAGCAGAAAACTTAGGAATAAAATACTGATTTTAAAATGTGGATATCTTTAGTTTTAAATCTATATTTGTGTTTTATAGACTTGTCAAATTTTGCTTAAATTAATGTTGATAAAGAACATTCTGGCTTGCTTGCTCAACTTATTTTCTCATCTTCCTCAGGGTTGTGTGTAATAGCTAATTCTGAGCAGAGACCAAGTGTTAGAGTTTGTGATGGTAATAAAACCAAACACAAGCCATATGCTGAGAAGTGAAATATGGCTCTGCTACGTCACCAATGATGATTAGTATATTCTGTTACTGTCATGTAAATTATTTTATATTATTTGGTTATGGATTTTCTGGACTACTCTTCTCCATGCGTATAGATATTGGACCTTTCTGTGCTAAGGCTGGGAGTGAGAACATGTAGATATCCCATTCTTGGACTCTTCAGGACAGAAAGGATTTCAAGTTTGAAATATATAGACATAGAGCTTAGAATGTAGTTTAATTATAGTAGGAGTAGACCAGTTTTTATAGTATTTCTTTGCTTGCCAGTCTGGAGAGAAGATTTCTGATCAGGAGCTTTAGAGACAAAGGAAAGAAGACATAGAAAGGGTGGGAAATAGCTAAACTATGTTCAGTGTCTCCTTTGAGTTAGCCAGTCGGTAGCTTTTTTTGTGTTTGGATTTATTGTGCTGAAACATGAAGCTTGCCCTAATTGGTGTGGTTAAGTGGATAGAACATCGGCCTGTGGACTCAAGGGTCTCAGGTTTGATTTTGGTCAAGGGCATGTACCTTGGTTGCAGGCACCCCCCCCCCAGTAGGGGGTGTGCAGGAGGCAGATGATTGATGTTTCTCTCTTGTTGATGTTTCTAACTCTCTATCCCTCTCCCTTCCTCTTTGTAAAAAATCAATAAATTACATTTAAAACACACACACACACACACACACAATAAGAAACCATGAAGCATGATCACATATTAGCTAATAAGACCAGGCCACCTCTAATAGTGAGAGAAGTTAGGTAATTTAGAGAATAAGTACCATAAGAATAGAAAGCTGTTTTTCGAGACACTTTATGAAAAACTGAATCTCTTAATGGGTTTGTGCATTACTCTGAAATTTTAGATAGTACACATTGATCAATTGACTTTTTGTTTACACAGTAACAATAAAATTATGAGAAAAAAATTGCAAAATCTTTTTAGGGCATGTTTAAATTTCCCCCAAATGCTAATAGATGTTAAAAGCTGAATAAATCCAAGATTTCATATAACTGCCTCTTAATTTTTTCCTTTTTAATATTACTAAATTTTAAAGAAGTTTAGTGTGATAAATATACAGTCTAAAAACATTCATGTAGTGTCAGAGGCTTAGTGAAAAGCAGTCTCGCTTCCCCCCACCGCTGGCCATTTGTCTCGACAAGCCGAGACTGCTGGCTCACTGTCCAACAGTGCGATGCAAACTGCACTGTGTCCTTTCCCTTGCCCTCTGCTGTCTGAGTTCCAGGGCAGCTTGTGCTGTGAGTCCTCAGGTTAGAAAGCAAACCACTGACCGCAGCCAGGAGTTGGTTTATTATTGCACCTCTGGCCGTTTTTCCTTCTGAGTAAAGTGAACACCAGATGCACTGCTTGAGATTTTGCCCATAGAAGGATTTCCTTCGCTGCTGTTTCTCTGGGTGTCCCAGAAAGAGGCTGGCTCGCTCAACTGTGCCATCTGTGTGTTGTACACCAGCCCCGAGGATGCTCTGCCAGCTAATCATAGGGAACTCCTCGGAGAGCGGAGAGCTGCTGGGAGAGAGAAGGGTGGAGCAGGCATGGAAACATGGGCATTTGAGCCACTTCTTCATGTGACTTACTTGTTCCTCAGGGCCTACTTGGGCTCTGGCACAGCTGTACCACTTGCATTTGATGATGGAATCTTGCTATGCACACTCCACTTTATGCTTTGTGTGTCAGATAATACCTAGTTCATGATGGTAACTGAGTGGCCTTAGATTAAGCATTTAGTTACTAAGACCCAGCAGCAAGCCACGAGCTGTGTCTCCAAAGGAGAGCAGTTCCCGACAGAGGCTGGCAGGGCTTCGCTCCTAAGGGCCTGTGCTGCAGAAGCCTGGGAAGACGGTGTCCTTCTCTGCCACCGCCACTGCTGGACCACAGGCCCCACGTGGCAGAGCAGCTGGCACAGCCGCCTTCTGAGTCTTGCTCAGAACTAGCAGCTCTCAGGTAAATGGGTTGGAAATTACGCCCAAATGAGGACTAGGTTACCTCAAAAACAGAGGCCAGCATTATAGGTCTTTTTTGGTTGCAGAAAGGACCAGATACAGCAACTCTTCCTACATCTTCTTTAGATCTGCCCATGACTCCCACTGCTACACCGACTTCTCTCTCTGTAGGGGGTGTGCAGGAGGCAGATGATTAATGTTTCTCTCTTTAGTTACTAAGCTGCTCATCTTCCTTTTGTGTTCCTAGCAGTAAGAGTAAATCAGTGATTGGACAGTGCTATTCATTATAGGTTGTACATGAAGTGTTTGTTACTGGTCCATTGAGAGTTAAAAGTAGCACTTGCCAGAATAGAAATGAACACATTTCATCCTTCTTTCACAAATTCTTACAACCGAAGGCAAAAAAAAAAAAAAAAATTAAGCCAAACTTAACTGTGTTTAGTGACTATTTATAGTCTGGTGCAAGCTTTTTATTGTTTCTCAGGCAGGAAGCAGTTTGTGGACCAGAACTGATCTACAAATCAAACTGTATAACACTAGTGTGAGATACTCTTCTTACCTGTGAAAGACAAGTCCAGGGAGTGATAAAGATATGCAATCAAATGTTATGTCAGAGGTATCTTTATGCAAGAGAGAAAAGGTTACTCTGGAATGGAGATGAAGACATTAACTGTATGCCACTATAGAGAGTACAAACTGGAAGATGAGTTTATCAGGTGAAGAATTTGGGGTTAGATCAAGGGAATCAGCATGAGCAAAGGTAAAGGTTCTTCACTTCTCACAGTGACTGAAGGAAAACCTATGAGTAAAGAAAAAAGAAAAGTAAAAGCAGTGCCCACTTGATACACTTAGAGTTAATATAACTGCTTACCTTAAAAATGCTTATTAATAGGAAATAATTAAGCATCTATGCTGCATTTATAGTGGGATCTATCCTATATAATAAAAGGCTAATATGCTAAGTGTCCAATCATCAGGTGACTGGTCGACTGTTCAACTAATCAAAGCGTAATATGCTAATGATATGCTAAGGCCATTCAACTGCTCGCTATGACGTGCACTGATCACCAGGGGGCAGAGTGTCGACCAGTTGCTATGATGTGCACTGACCATCAGGGGGTAGATGCTCTCCCTTGCAGGCCTGGTCCCTCCCAATTGCCCTCTCCTGCTGGATCCACATGGGGACAGGATCTTTGATCACATGGGGGCAGCCATCTTGTGTGTTGAAGTGAAGGTCAATCTGCATATTACTCTTTTATTAAATAGGATAGAGGCCTGGTGCATGGATGGGGCCAGCTGGTTTGCCCTGAAGGGTGTCCCGGATCAGGGTTGGGGTTTCCTTATGGAATGAGAAGGCCTTGGCAAGGGGCCTGTGATGGGTTGCAGGCTGGCCATGCCCCCCGGCGACCCAAGAGGAGGCCCTGGTGTCTGGAATTTATTTACCTTCTACAATTGAAACTTTGTAGCCTGGAGCAGAGCCAACCCTCCTGCTCGATCGGCTGGCAGCCATTTCTATTGGGACTTATGTACCTTCTATAATTGAAACTTTGTAGCCT